AGTACTATAATATTATTAATTTCACCTTATCACTTGCAGTTTCATAATTATTTTATTCTGTTCATGAAATATATTTCAGTAAGGAATTTATAGTTGAAATATATCCATTTTTTTATAAAAGGCTTTAAGTGAGCGTTATTTTTATGTGCTTTCCAAATATTGTTATAATACATTTTTTTATTATTATATTATTATAAATAAACAATTATATGGCAAACTTTTATTGGATAGGTTAGCTAGTTTCCATGCATATCCTCGGTCTAGATAAAAAGGTCTTGTTTCCATGTTTTAACGTTTTTGGGTAGCGCCATCTACTAACAAATTTAAAACTAAAGTAATTAAATTTGAAATTATTTTAATGATGACCACATTACACTATTTTTTTAACACTACACTAGCTCAAAATGTTTAGTTCTTTTGAGCCTTCTCACTATTTTCGTTTACTAGGTTCGTCCCTAGTGAAAAACAAAAACAAAACTTACAGGAACCGTAGATTTTTACGAAATAAAAAGCAACTTATGTGCTATTCCAGACTATAATCTATCTCTGTGCCAAATTTCATCCAGATCCATTCAGCCTTTCTGGCGTGATTGAGTAACAAACATCCATCCAAATTTTCGCGTTTATAATATTAATTGTTAGGGGATACTGGGATAATGGGATATATTATTATTCAAATAATATTTTGCATTTGAATGCTTTGGACACCTTTACTTTGTTTTTATCTCCCAGGTGGTTTATACGAGATTCTAATTTTTTAAGCACACTATGAAAGTCCATGTGCAAATGCCTGAAAAATTATCAAACTCCGCCATAAAACTAAAACAGAAACCCGAAATTGTTTGAAATTGCTTCGAATCAAAAACCGTAATTCTTTTTTTTCTAGCTTTAGAATAAAATCCCCTATACCTATATCCTATCGTTGGATTTATCTTTACGCATTTCGATCTGGTTCTGTTTCATTTTAAGAGCTTTTTTATATGGTGGACAGTTGCATTTTTACTGTGGATTTATAGGACTGTTCGCGTTCTGACTTGTAAATGAACTCAGCTGCTAAAACAGAGAAAGGATTTATGAGGGGCCTCTAGCGCAGTGGCCCTAGAAATTTTCCTAGAAATAAATACCCGTAACTTCGCTTATATTTATACAGATAATTTAAAATACTAAATTCATATGGAATTGTATAGGTGCGGTATTTATAAGAAAAACGCAATTTTTAAAATTTTTGTCTGTCTGTATGTCTGTCTGTTTGTTCCGGCTAATCTCCGAAACGGCTGGGCCGATTTTGACAGAACTTTCACTGGCAGGTAGTTGATATTATACGGAGTAACTTAGGCTACTTTTATTTCAGTAAAAGAGTTAGGGTTCCGCTCAAAAAAAAACTATATATACCTAGGGACGAACCCGAGCAAAGCGATTGAGTCGCTAGTTTTATATATCGCGGATTCACATACGGATACCAACCACATTATGGTAGTATACGAATGCGACTCCATGGTGTCCCCTTAATACGATGAGGGTATGCTTTTATTTTAGTACATTAGCTTTGTCTCGCGAGTCACATTACTACCATCTAATGGAGGGCGGGAATCCTTCAGTCTATTTATATGATTATTTATTCAAATATTACATTTTTACATTTGAACTTGCAACAAATCTCCTCAATATAAGTTATACAATGCTTAGACGCTTTAAGTATCTACTAAAAAAGAAAAATATTTTTAAGACACTTGCTTAAACTTGAAGACTTACAGATACATAAAGAAAAAAATACATTAATATAATATATAAAAGCAAGTATCTATGTATGTCCTATATAAATGTAATTATTCACCGACATCAAAACCTCTAGGGGTGGAACTCTTTAAGTGATTTTTAAACGTATGTTTTCTAACAGTTTTCTATTAAAAGTCTTCAGTTATAAAATTTAAAAAGAAACAATTAGACGAATTTGTCTTTATCGCAAAACTCGTTAGGATTTTGTTACGATGAAAATACAAGGGCAGGTATATTTTCTCTATATTTTTTTATCTCCAATATGAACGTGATGGAGATCTTCAGAAAAGAAGAAAACTGTACTTTGTTTGTGAATAATCGCCATTTTTTTAATTTCTCTGCACTGATTGCTTTGAAAATGTGACCCACAAGTATTTTTACATGAAGGTCTTTATGCTATTAATTTTGCTGTATATCTTCTCTAGATGGCGCTGCACTGCATTTTCTATACCATTCAACATTTTGATATTTGAATATGGCAAATATTTTTGCTTTATTTATTTTATTTATATTTTTTTTAAGGATCTCCAACAGAAGTACATAAATATACAAAAAATACAGGCTCTTTGGATAGTGTTCAACATGTACTCCCAATTACTGGAGAACACAACATGCACTAAAAACAGTGTTGATAACATGAATTACTTAAAGTTAATAGGTGCAACTAAATCTGAACAATCAATTAACAAAACCAAAATTAAAAATTCTAAAAATAAAATGAAAGAAAGAAAAAAAAATGTTATGACAAATGTTCACATCACGAATAGAAAGCGTAACATTCTTTTTAAATGTATTAAGTGTGTCGAAACTTTATAACTTGTAACATACACTACATAGGTAGTGTCTTAAAGATTTGTATAACTTATTTTTTGTAAATATGTTTAGAGATATGATATAACAAATGAATGTTGTTACGTAATTTTATAATAATTATAAGTTACAAAATCAATCACAGAACAAAGCCTAATAGAATAATACGTTATTGAAAAGTTGCCGACAGAAGATTAATCGTGTTTCATATAAGACAGACTTTTCGTGTAATGTTCGAAGTAACAGTCCGTAAAAAGATGAAGGAAAACTTTAGAAAGCCCGCACTTAGCCAGTTCGTGTAAGTTTAATAATATTGGATTTTGCTGAGCGAGGACGAGGAGGTAAGCATAGAACACCCTTATGTAATCCATTGTAATAATATAAATGTGAAAGTGTGTTGTTTGTTTGTTTATATTTCTTTAACGTCGAAACAGAGTGACGGATTGGCGTGATTTTTTGTGTAGAGATAGTTGAAGGGCTGGAGAGCGATATAGGCTTAATACCGCAGGAGATTTTCTCATTCCCGCTAGGAAAAACGTTGTAATACAACTCAAAAAATATTTAAGATCAGAATTACTTGAAACTTGGTATTAATACAATTAAATAAATACATGTATTAGCATTTTTCGAAATTTATCCCATAAAGGAGTAAAATAGGGGTTAAAAGTTTGTATGAAACCTATCTTTTTAAGCTTTTTTTGTAGTTTTAGGACGAGCAAAGTCGCGATTTCTGCTAGTAAAATACATATGTATGGCAACACTTTGTTATTAGCAATTATTGCGGGACATATTAAAACGCTGCAAGGTTTATTTTCCTAGCATATACGAAACTTACTTCATATTCAAGTCCCTGTAGCAGTTCAAGTTGCACACAAAAGTTCTACGTAGTTCAACCTAGTGACACAGTGTCACATTGACTATTTATGTGTTTCTTTATTCGGTAGCAAGTTTATCTCCGAATAGGTACAAAGGAAGCTAGAATTTGAATTGTGTGATATTTTATACTTATAGAGTTTAAAATATATATTAATTTCATATTTTTAAAATATTTATGTTAAATTATATGAAATACTAGCATAGCCCGCGGCTCCGCCCGCGTTCAGATGACAAAAACCAAATTCTTAGGTTTTACACGTTAGTATACTCTTACATTGCAGTTTTTTGTATTTTTTCTGAGATTTTTTTTTTCATTTTCCTGCGGTAAAAAGTTTCCTATATGTTGACCCGGATAACCAGCTATTGGCGGGCGGGTACCCGGGAACAGGGTTTTACCTGACAGAAAAAAAACAGCTATTACCATACCAAATTTCATTACAATCCCTCCAGTGGGTTTTCTGTGATGCGGTAACAGACAGACAAAAATTCTAAAAACTATAGATTCGGCCTCTGTATCGATAATAATGTCTATTTCAATAAAATTTTCCAAAAAAATATTTAATGTACAGATTCGGCTTAGTTACAATTTTATTATATGTATAAGATAGTTTTGATTTTTAAAATAAAGTAACAAAATAAAAGCTCTTCATTTTTATGTTTTAAACATTATTAAACTTAATTATTATCTAAACTTAAACTAAAAGAAAAGTTACATGTAATGCCCGCAAAATAAGCTAATTTGAGACGTACATTACGTAATATGCTCTTACGTAATATATCTCACCCATGGGTGTAGTAAAGTTTTATGCAGATGGAGAAATTTACGTATATCCCATACAATGTGCAGAAAAGTGGTTTTAGACAAACTAAACACGTGAAAGTTAGACAAGTTTTAGTTATACTGTCACATTTACAGCTTAATATTTTAAATAAAACTATCTTTTCGGATTATTTCGCGGATTAAAATATCAAATATTCGCGTAAATCTAAGAAAGTATTGGCTTAATATTTGTCTCCAAAATGAAAATTGTTTAATTAAGTACTGGTGTACTACGTATAAATATCATATTATTCGCGTTTTATATAGGAAACACACAAATGATTTATTTAGAATAACGTAGTTGTTAGAAGAATTTATTTAATTCAAAGAAACCAGGCAAGTTTTACATAATTTAACTGTCTGCCTAAACTTAAAATAAGCCCGACGTTAAATGAACCGTCGTTACAAGTTGCGTATCCAATCAATACGGCGTAGTCAAATTTAGAATGAATGGATTGTGATGAACCTTTTAATCATTAGTAATGATTAGTATTATTCAGCTTCATTTATAAGACACTAATTTTTCTTGTTTTATGATTGTTATATTTTCTATATAATATGTCATCTATGTTTAAAAAAAATAGCATATGTGTGTATAATGTCAAATTATTTTAGTAATTAAAGGCTATTTTATTTTATTTATTCTATTTAATGATAACAAAAGATATATTTAGCTGATAAAAGACAATTTCAATCCACATATTTTTTTTCAAATTTAAGCTAGTTTAGTTGCTTCAATGACTCTTTCCTGTAAGCTTTTAAACCTTAATTTAAACTGAAATATCATTTAATGGTTCAATACACAAACCATAAAGCCTTTATAGTCTTTGGGAGAAATATATGGTCTATCTTTATAAATCAGTAAGATACACTAAAAGCGCACGTAAATATTGAATTAAACAATATTTCCATTTCTATTCTAAGTCACAAGTTCTATTTTATTTTGTTCGAAACAATATTATATTTAACGTCCTAAATTAAGACTTATGAGAATCGGGGCTATTTTAAAATTTGCATCTAGATGCCTCCAAAGGCGGAGATGAAATTATACTTAAACATTATCCCGCCCAGCAGTTCCGCGTAGTTAGTGGTATCCTCGAACTTTGCACATTTATTCGAAAGTTGTCCCATCAAACTTTATTATCAGTCTCGTCTATGATTATAGAATCAGGGAAAATTAACACATCCTAGAAGTCGCATACTTAAACACATTGTAAATTTGTTCAAATTGTATTGTGATTTGATTTTGAAAAATCTTATACTAACAGAAAGCTACAATACCGCCGAGTGATATATATTTGCTATATATTACTTAATATTTTCTTAGATTTACGCGAATACTTGACATTTTAAATAAAACTATCTTTTCGGATTTTTTCGCGAATTTATTTTGATTTTTGGTTCCCGACGTTTCGAATGCTTTACAGCAATCAATTTCACGGGAGAGACTGAGGTGTTAGATGTCTCTAAGGTATATATTACTGTCAGAAATCATAATAAATTTAGTTGAAATCAGAAAAAACTGGCCGTTGATTTGCTTTATCGGCGTGCGCTGCTTAAATGGCAATAAAGCAATAAAATACATTTCTATCATTTTAGGAATTAATGAGCACGCCTTGCTTGAAATCACAGAAAGTAAATTCAGAGAAATAAATTTTCTTATATACAAAACTACTGTAATTTAAAAATATTTTCATCAAGAAACATAAATTATGTTCCTACAAGAAATTAGGCCACTTTCAGAAAATCAAGTAAATTATGTATGTGGTAAGTATTATTGTTCACTTTATTCAGTATTCAAGCTATTTCGCTAAGTTAGTAATTGCTGCACTACGCAGTGATTACCGACACGCTGGCTTTTGGCCAAAAGGCATGGTGCCAATATTTCCGAACCTGTTGAATTTCCCATATGGAGTGTGAAATGTTTGTATAATGACAATAAATCTATACTAATATTATTAATCTGGAAAGAATTGTGTTTTTGTTACCGGTTCACACCTAACAATAAAAAAATTAGAAATTATTAATGTTTAAGCTTTTCATCAGCAATTTTGAACGTATTCAAAATTACTGACATGGATTAGATAGTAAGATACTATTTTAAATGAATAAATATTAAATAAAATTAATAGTATGCAATTTGTATCTGTGGTCCTATAAAAAATCCACTTTCTACATAATATTATCATCATCTCCCTGCCCATTTATATTATATTTTCAAATAAATTCACTTACCTGAACGTGATAGGGGGCTACTTTTTCCTCTCCTTTTATTTCAACATTGATATGCAATCTGATAGCTCCCGATACTGCTGACTTATCTGTTCTCTTTTCTAGGTTGTACCACACATCCATTTCACCTGATAGTGTCCGTACCTATAACAACAAAGCCCGGTTTATATAATATTAACGAAATAAATATTTTGATGCATAAAACGTAATTTTTTGTTGTGATGTAAAACTAGGCCAAAAATAATAAAAATCAATAGTTTCGTGTTAAAAAACATGTATCGTGTGGACATAAATTATATACAATTACTTAAAAAAATGGGAGCAGCTGCCTCAGTAAAAATCTATAGAATATACATACATTGAATGTTCAAACTCAGGTAGAAGTATTAGCATTTTTATTATTCACCTCAATTATGGTTTGACCCAAGAAATCGTCCGATTCCCTCGTCAACTTTTGTCGAAGTTTAGATTTCAAGTCGTTGTCTTCATCCCAAACTCTTACTTTTATCCGATCCGAAGAATTGTGGCATTCACTACAATAAAATAGGTATTTTGAAGGAATTTGTATTAAAACTTTTCAGAGTCTATACTTATATTTATTGGTAAATACCATAATGTACATCTTAACCTTGTTAAAACGTGTTAAAAATGACGACTGATTTTATGGTAAAAAGGTATAAAACGTTCTTAGAACAGGAAAAGGTATTGATATATTGACTAATCATTAATTACTTACAAGTAAAATTTCTCGTTCCAAACTGGATTGAGCTCTTGAGGCATAGTTCTGGTCCTCTTCTTGACTTTGCTTACTTGGACGGTTACGTACGGGTCTGATGTTCCACTTTTATCTTTAGCTATCAACCCCTGAGCGCAGATAACTGCCCATGAAAAGTTGGTTATTAATAATGTGACTAAAAACTAAATATTAAAATTTAAATAAATTTCAAAATTTTATAGCATTGATTATTTTCCATTTAAAGATTTATTTTTATATTTTAGCCTTTAGTACAACGTAGCAGGTACATATATTAAAGCTTATTTATTGGCAGAGCAAAACAAGTAATAGGCTTACACTGTATGCAAATTAACAAATTTAGATTACTCTGATATTACACCTATTAATCATGAGATGATTTGCAATATATAGAATGTAATTAACAAATTATGATCCTAGCAAGAAAACTTACCTTGTATTAAAACATTTTTAACGTTACCTCGATGATTCGATGGCTTTATGTAGTTTCCCTGTGGTATGTTGGAATGGGGATAAGAAGACACTAGCTTCAAATCTACCAGAATTTTATCTATGTATATATGCCCAAACTCGAGCCTAAAACAACTTGAACATAGCGACTACATTCGCAACTTCTAATGTTAACTTGATCAAGGTAGTAAATTTCAAAGTATGAATAAAATTATGCACGGGGATGAAATCTAAAGTGGAATTTTCACGAATCGGAAGTTTCAGAAGAGATAGCAGAAAGAAGAAGAGAGAAAAGAGTACTTTTTTACAGGTTTTTATCCTGCATGCTTTCATTTCGCTATTTATATGCATTCACCTATTTTGGTTCAAGTCTACGGAAGGGATTTAAAGTTGCTATAATTTCGGGTCAATCCGTCCAATCAATATATTGTCCGCATAACAGTGTCGGGTCTGGAAGTGAGTGACAGTAACAAATTATTATTAATTTGTGATATTCATGCAACAGTGTTATTTTAACAAACGTGTTACTGAATTATGATTGCACTCATTATAAAATTCAATGTGAAGTGTTCATTTGTAGGTAAAAATCTTAAAATTAGTGTGCGTTCGTTGTTTTAATTGTTGTAATTGTAAGTGTTTGATTCGTGGAATTTCCTTGTGTTGATGGTTATAAAAAGCTACGTTTTGTCAATAGAAGTGAGTTGAGGCTGTGCACTAACGACCGTGAATGGATTGGGTTAGTAAAGTAAAGTTGCATAGAAGTTTTTGATATTTGCTAAAATGATCAACTTAAAAAATATCAATACTAATATTTTATTTCATCTTATAATAAATAAATTTTAGCACATATCAAAAAGTGGTATAGAGAAATTAGGCGAAGTCATTACTAATAGATTCAAATTTGCGAGCGTGCGGTTCGTAGCCGCAAAAGACCACTGCAAACCTGTGATGGCGATTTTGCAGGACCATTTCGAAGTCCCTTCAATAGTGATTTGCTCGGCCTGTTCGAGGCTGTCTATGTGAGTGTCGGGGTCGACGTTAAAAGTCCGCCTGGCCGCCACATGAAACGAAAGACACGAATCAATTAAGTGTGTTTGTGTTGTGTTGGTGATGTCCTGACCGGTTCCTCTGGAGACCTGGATATCTGCAAACGGATCTGAAAAAGAAAACCACGACACATCTCCGAACCTGTGATGGCGATCTTCGCGCTCCATTTCGAGGTGCCATCTAGGACGGACTGCTTCACGGTGCTCATGTGTGCCGAATGTCCCTCTGGTTCGATGCTGAACACGCGTCTGTTGCATATACATAAGGGTCAAAAATTATTTTATAAGAGAGTATGGTTAGCTTTTGTAATTAAAAATCGACTTTCCTGACCATCACGTAATAATTATATACACTGCCAACTCTCTCAAGGTATCAAAATATTGATAATAAATAAATATGATCATATAAATATAATAATTGTTCAAAAAATAAATTATACATAGGTATTTAGATTAACCACGTTTTTTTTATTTCGTTGCACAATTTTTGGGAAAATTACCTGATAAGTTCGAAAATTTCTGGCATATCTCGTTCTCGCTGTTTCATTCGTTCTTTCATCGCAGTTATAATTGAGTTAGCTTTGTCTTCGGCGCCGTGTTTCGAAGACTTTTCAGCAGCCCCTGCGAAACACACTGCTCAGGCGGTGCCAATACTGTTCTTGGTTAGTGCGGGTTGCGCCGGGAGGGCCCCCCGCCCTGCAGTCAGGCCTGCCACGACCACTCAATGGATACAACCTAACCAGATTCCAACTTATAACTGCAATCTAACCAATTTTTCATTTATAATTATTATTTATACAGGACGGTTGGATCTGATCAAGTCGACAACCTTGAGCGGCGCCAGCCGGAGCAAACCTGAGCACGGCGCCTTTTTATGAAAAAGTATCTCAATGTTATTTTTGCAAAAATAATTCTTTATATGTTCAGTTTTGTGCCTTATCAAAATTCGCATTGAAAATCCACAAACTGTTCATGAACATAGCATTGAGATAATCAAGAGTGGTTGGTTTATTTGTTGGTAATTTTTGACAAAAACATTTTTAAGCTTTCCTATTTTAGATTAAGAAATACGGTTTGAAATTTTTTGAAGATATAAAATTAAAACATAACGCTAATAATTAAAATAAACACAGAAACGCGAAGTCTATAAATTAAAACACGTAAGGAAAGTAAACTAAGACCACATATAATATTGAAGTGGACAAATACTTGGACTGCGTGCACACATTGCTAACAGGTACAGTTGGAATTTGTTTTATTGGGGCGCTTGTGTTTTGAAGCTTTAAGGCATCCTTTTAGAGTGGTGTTACTGAAAATGCGGAATGTTTTAAGATATTTAAATAGAATAATTTACATTTTATATTTTTAAGGGCTCTTGACAAATTTCGGCGCTGGGCGGGGTAGCCTGTGAGGAACAGGACCGGTATCCCTATCTAAGTGAATATTGTCTACATTTCAAAAACATTTTATCATAAAATATTGATTTGTGTAATAAAATATACAGTTTACACATATTAGAATATGAATACATATTTTATGTGTATGTGTAAGTATAAAGAAAAATATACAATCAAACTAATAATATGAAAACGTTTCGGATAGTTAGAAATTATTATAATAGGAAATAAATAAATTACTAAAATTGTAATCATGTGACAAATAATAAAAAATAAACAAAATTTATATATATATGTATTTAATAAAATAAATGCTTTTAAAATGTAGACTAAAATATGACAATGACGTGCAGTCGACTAATAAATTTGCATAAAATGAAGTCTATGGATTATTCTAAGAAACCGACTGCCCGCCTACATGATGGTGCGAATATGAATCTAATCGAATATAGGAGGTTGAATTTTGAAAAAATATGTCATTTTTATACCGATAGCCATGCACATCGATAAGCGAAAAGGATAATTTTGTTGGAGGAAGGTACATGCTGTATTATATGAGGTCACACATAAAAAGAAGGAAATAGTAAAATCAAAACACAACGTTGAGAGGAAAAAATATGATAATTCATACATATTTCATTAAAGGTTATATAAAACCAGTTTACGACTCAGTGTTGTGTACAAAGTTACAAACGAGTACAAACTCTTGATCATTGTTAAGGCCTAGAGATGGCAACATTGTATTTCTAGGCCATTGACATTGATATAATTAACCACCGACGATCATGCAAGAATTTTAATCATGCATATTTCACCTCAAAATAAATTTAGTCTACGACGTCATTACGTTCAAACAATTAATTATGTATTACAATAACTGATGTGTATTTTACCTTTAGGTTTGGATGTCATCTAGATTGCTAAACTAGTCGTGTATGGGAAAACTATTTTCGTAATATATATATTGGAGATCGTTACATCATTCATTAAATTGTAATTCATAATATTTGGATTTACAACTGTCATATTCGTTTTATTTAATTGGACAAAAGTTAATTTACCAAATCAAACTGATCGGCGATCTTAACTGACGTAAGACGTTAAGGACAAAGAACTTGAGAAGTCGGATGACCTGTTAAGTGCTTTTCAAACTCCATAAGATCAGAAGACTTAGGAATATTCTTTGAACATCCGCTCTATCTCCATGCACTTATGTGTCAAAATGATGTCAAGTGTTATATTATAATATAATATTAAAATAAAATATTAATTCTCGTTACACGCGCTCTTAATAATATATTAACTAATTCATTATTGTTGTTTATACTATTTAGAAGAAACCTATACATAACTGATTTGTGATATATATGTTCACGTAATTTGTTCATTTTATGTGATCCATTTTGCTATATGAAAACCTAACGGCTATTAAGCTTTTTGTAGAATGTTAGAATAAACTTGATTGCCTTCGGCGTCGTTGTGTAACAAAGATCTTGTCTACTATGTGACCCACTAGGAGTGCATCTTGACACTACTTCAACTTAATAAGGAGAACGGCGCTTTGCCGCTGCCAGAAAAGTAGAAAACATAGAGGTCGTAAATGCGAATATATCTTTATGATGTAACGATCTTCGTATTGAGGGCGTGAACGTGAATCCGTATATGGTTATATTTATCGATTCATAGGGTGTTAAATATTATGTTCTAACAAGTTGCGACTATAATATTTTTTTTGAACTATAGAAAAGAATTCCTCATAGAAAAAATAACTATAATTAATACTAGTTCTATTATTTTCACATCTAGCTAAACAACTGGCTTAAACAATATTACAGTTTCATAAGATTTTATGGAAACCGTTAAGTAAGTTTACTAAACCGTTTCTTATATTTATAACTTTCTTCCCAGATAAAACATTTAAGCCAACTGTCAATAGCATCTTATATAAAACCAATCACAAATATGAACCGATACTTACTCTGTAGACAATCGGCATTGAGCAAATCTTTACACTTCTCGTGGCATTTGACACCACACTCTGTGCACCTAACTCCTTGCCTTGCAATTCCCCAGAGTAAACCTTCACATTCGTAGCAGTAAGTCGGTGATGTGGCCGTCCATAGTACAAAATTATGAGGCGTAGTTGAGGATATTGGGTATATTAAGGCTTGCAAGGTCTTCTTGTAAACGTGCATTTTCTGTAACACACTTGATAGTTCAAATATCAACAGAAAGATTGAATCTTTTTCTCTAACTGAAAAGTTAGAAATAGATTCCTTCCTTTTGTTAATTTTTATTATTACTTTAGATGTTTTATTTAGTAAGCAATTTAAATAATTTTATTAGAAATCACACTTACTAATTCTTCATCATTCAACGTAGCTCGATGAACAGCCGATGTCAAACCTGCGTTCCTTTTAGTTGCAGCCATCGTCTATACAGTGAAAATACAGGTATTAGTTACAGATGTCGTAAAGATGTCTATAATCTAAAAAATCTAATTAATTCAAAATTTAAGTATTAAGTTTAACTTCTACGTTGAATATTATTATTAATTGTTATAATTGTAATTCTATTGAATAATTATTGATTGCTACTCATGCTATAATTAAAAGCTGTTCTTTAAGCCTGTCCCATAAAATCTAGATTTTACTACTTTAAATAGAGTTTTGTTGCTTCGTTATTAATTTACATACATAGAAATTCATTTTCCAAATATGCATACAAACAAATGTCGTAAACTTTGTGTTAATTCTGTACTAAATAAAAGTGATGCCAGCACAACAAAATGTAGTATATGCATCCCGAATGTAAAAGGGTTTATTTCTTTTTTAGCAAAGAAACTAAAAATAATAAAATTAAAAATTAACCTCAGCTCGTGCAATTTTTTGCTGTTATCTTCTTAGTAGATTAAAACATACATATTTTGATAAATATATTTATATAATATACACTGGTAAAATTTATAGCAAGGTAGCAGTATCATGCAAAGGCGTAGGCAGTAACTTACAAATAATATAGTCTAATTATAAGTCAAAAGTAAAATCGGCCGATCTAGAGAAATTTTTAACAAAAAACAATTGCATATCAAAAGCATTAATTTTATTATATGATAGAGATCCATGCAGAGAAGAAAGTGTTATTGGGATAGATATACCTTGAGAACCTGCAGGTCCATGGTAAGGGGTAAAATGCAATAAGATTATTAATTTTAACAAGGAATAGTCAGTTGCATTATATTGGTTCTGCTACACTATCATTAAATTTCAGGTGACCCCTATATCCACTATATGTTGCAGGTGTTTGGTGTTGGAAGGCCCTCTAAAATCACGTAGGTAAATACCACCTACACAAGTAGGATTAGAAGGGAGACACATATATCACAAATATAACATAATACATCAAGAAAAGAGAAGGCTTTGTATAGACTGCTCGAAAGTCTTTAAAACAAAATAAATCATCAAATCTAAACAGTTCACGTGGACATTATATTCGTAGATATATCGATAATAAGTAATATAAGCGTCTACGTTGAAAATCTCCAGGTGAATTGCTTATGGAAGTATTTTACAGAAATATCCCGTTCAGAAGAAAACATTTATTACGCGCCTAATGTTACTAAGCATCAGGAAGCGCACGTCGATGCGAGCTGTAAACATTAAAGACTAGTTCCAATTATCTACCTTTTTGTGACCGACTTCAAAAAGAGCTAGTGAGGAAAGTACTGAATTCGATTGTATTTTTATATAATACTCGATATTATCGAAGATTTAATATCGATTTTATTTTTTTTAATGAATAGATTACATGTCAAGAACGGGGAATTAATTTAAAAAAAAAACATCCATTATGGAAAACAAGGTAATAACTTTTAAATGGTTTTGAAGTCGGTATACACTTTTGGTTAAAAATGAATTATAAAGGTTACATCGGGTATTAATACTACATTTTTTTAATAAAGATAGTTGAAACCAGTCACAAAAGAAAGAGAACTAGCTCCATTTTATTTTTACTAGAAATTTATAACATCGATCAATAAGTAGTTTACTTACAAGTTCGGATACGAGAGGGATGGATTTTCTCCTCGGCCTAATATCAGGCATGCTGTCGATATTACTATAAAATGGATTATCGCCAGGGTGCCTATAAAACAGGTGGAAAATTTTAAAATTAATATATATATATATATATATATATATATCTTATTATATATGATACAGTAATGCTAGAAGTACAGAATATGTAAATCTTACCCATTTCCGCGTCCGCCTTGGTCATTAAAACCGCCGGTGCCATTCTAAAATTAAAAAAAAACAACGATTAATAACAAATAATAAAAAAAATAAAAAAAGCTAACATTTTATTTATAACATAAAAGCAATAACAATAAACTTAACCTGGAAACAGATAAAATTTCCACATAATCACATAATTATAACAAAATTAAAGCCTTTATATCTCTTTAAAAATATTTCAACTACTGGCAGTATCAGAAAAATTATAATAGATAAGTATTGGCTAACACCGGAAGTGGATTATGTAAAAATTTTAACTTAACAACTTGTTATTTAACACTGCAAATGGAGAATTAATTTACTAATAACATAGACTTATAATAACAAATTATTATTTAACCTCTATTTAGTTATCAATATAATCGTGAAAATGTTCTTGCTATAGTACTAGTTTTCATTAGCTTTTTAATATTCATTACCTTAAAAGCGTAAGTTTGATTAATACGTTTAATAGATAATGGGCTTTAGCGGAATATAATAAACCTTTAACATTAGTCGTTATATAAAAATGTATGGAATAAATGCATAGCTGTTTATATACGTACATATATTTCAAACTTGCCCTTATAATATTTGTTATAAGTACCATCTAATTTTTTCTAGAAATAACAACATTAGTACATTTAGTGCCATCTAATTTTTTTTGTAGGTGTCGAGAGCTATACGATTGAACATCCTAAGCAATTTTAACCCTAGTCTACGGTACATTTTTTTTTTAATTTATGATAGTAATCGACTTTCAACGTTTTAATTCAAACTAAAGGATTTGTTCGTTTAAAACATCATGGACTTTATATATCATTAAAAATAAATACTACCACTTGACTTTGACGTCAAATATTCTTCTGAATCAATAAGTATACAAATATAATTTTTATAGACATTTAAAGCATTTCCATTTCCATGACCGTAAATAATTTCATCGTTTGCTTTTTTATTAGAAATAATTGTAAATATTAATGAGTAAATATATCTCTGATCAGAGTAGATGGTTTTTTTTAATTTGGTTAAAACAAAAGACTCTGTATGATATGATATGATATGACGGCGAATGATTTTGTACCTTAATATATACTTATATGAAGCACGACGCGACGCTACAGTTCAATGAAGATGCATGAACAAGAACTAGCGCTTGGCACTAATTCTAGTAATTTAACGCTAAACTTTCAATATAGTTAATACTGGATACGTTATAACTAATATTATAGTTACACGATTACTTTAAGCAATGTATAATAATGAATTATTGTAAAAACACGTTGATGTTTCTAAAGCTTTTATAAAATTCCAATAATATTATATTGTATACATCATCAGAAAGTCTAATAACGATGCGGAAGTATAATATATTATTGCCTCAAATATATCCAGATATAATGGAATTTAAATATGTAGAATATAGATAGTATACAATTATATCGTAATCTAGACTGAATACCTAAGCTATCTGTTCTATTGCTCTGCACACCCATTCACTAAAAGGCAGGAACATTTTGTTTAAACTCGTTTGTTGATATTCGTTTCCTTCGAAATTTTATGAACCCTTTATATTTTACAATCTATTCAATGTCAACCATATTCTAATTATTTCCAAATTACACGGATATATAGAAATGTATACATATATTATTATATATATATACTGGTTGAGTAACAAAATCAATCACAACCTGGCATTGCAGTTTTGGTTCTTATATTTCTAAGAAAATTCGAATTTTGCAGTCAGATAGTATAACATTTTGGCTATAATGTTTTGTCAAGATTTACTCAATCAGCTCCACAAATGTTATGAATTTTATTCATGTAACTATTGTATTTATTGCTATTTATATATTTGTTGTTTAATATGCATATATGTAATATGTATAATATACATATTCTTGTACTTGTAAGAATTGAAGCGATTAGTACTCAGCTAAATAATCTAACTTATCGTTATATTTTATGAATATATGTATATATTTTGAGTATACTAGTAGTACAAGCTTTTATATTTATTCGCTATAGATTATGATTTAACTTTTAACTCTAATTTCATGAAATTTTTGCATAAGGTAACTTACACCAGCGCTAACTTTGTCCTTCTCCGTCGATGGTGTAGTAGCTGCAGGCGTTTCAGTTGTCTTTTCTTCTGCTTTTCGATCCTTTAATGCTTTTAGTAGCTTCCATTTACTTCCTACTGGGGCCTCTTGCTGTTGTGGCGGTTTAACCTGAATAGGTTTCTGGGATTGCTGCTCAGGTGCATCATAATCTTCTTCAAACTCATCACCACTTTGCACTGGACTGTCAGGACCAGATGTTTCCCCAGAACCTGAATCCGCATAAGACTTGTCATCGTCTGATTCCTCTTCTGTGTGCAAATCATCATCAATTTTTTCATCCATTACCGGGAATGTTGTCACTTCTTTCCAAGTCTCTTCCTGTGGTGTTTCATCACACTTTACTTTGATTGTTGCAGTTTTAAGTTTTAACTCTCTCAACACAAAAGACATTTTTTCTTTTAAGTCTTCTTTCGGTTCAACCGGTTCCTCTTCAATTTCAGGTTCTTCTTCTAGTGTTTGTTCCCTTTCAGCTTCTAGCTGAGACTGATGTTCCATTTCTTCTAATTTTCTTAATTCATAACAATACCACTCATCCTCGGAGTCTATACTATCTTCTGTGCTTTGACGTCTAGAAGATACTCTTGAACCACTTCGCCAAGAATGAGTACTTTTACTGTCATCGTCGTCGTGCTTATTTGGTATATCCAAGCTTTGCTGTTGGCGTGGTTGAAATTTATTGGGTAAACCACGAGCGCTTTGAATTGATGGACTGTGCTCAGAAAAGGACATCGATTCTTCAGGTGCTGAACTACTTATTATTTCTGGTGGACTAGATTTAGCTGATTTCTTTAATTTCTGTCTTGGTAGATGTGCTGGTTCTTCTGGTATATTTGTTTCGATTTTTGGTGGAGATGTATCGGACATTTGATCGTCAGATACGGATGATGACTTACGTAAGCGATATTTACCTAAAGCTCTAGAAACTGCAAATTCTTGAGAGCTTCCACTATAAGATGTATTATTTTCAATTACACCCTCGTCTAGAGATGCAGATGCTTTTTTAACGTCTCCAACGGTAGCAAATAAAGACGCAGGAGAACGATTATCTTCCTTCACATCCTCTTCAAATGGGTCAACATTAGATATATCAGTATCAATATCTAGTTTTTCAAGTTCTGTTATGTCATCTTTTTTCATTTGGCTTACACGAGCAAAATGGAAATCGATATCATCGCTCTTATCTCGTGGTAATGCATTTGTTTGAAATTTGTCATTTTCTTCTATAATACGTTCATTATCTTCATCATGAAATTCCACGCCTTGTTTTTGTAATTCTTGAATCATTTGTTGCTGTTCGATTATTTCTTGATTATTCATTTTTCGTTGTTTAGGTTTAACTGGTACTTTTGCAAATACATTTCCTTCGTGTGTAGAGTCAGAGAATACACTGTCACTATCTTCCGACTGGGCACTAGATCTACCACCAGACCATTCTGTTTCTGAGGTTTCTGGGTCTGATAAGGATTGATGGCTTGCTTGCTGCTTTCTTCTAGCTTTTTGTAATAGTCCTGACATTGAGGCGACCAAATGATATTTTTTCTTGCGTCTTTGAGCAGATAATATTCTTTCCTTCAGAGTTTTTTCTTGCTGGGCTTGCTCAACTGTGTCAACTCCTGAAGGCAATGAGTGTGATCTGTGTTTTTTAGGTAAATGCAGATCGGGGAGCCAATGAGTTACAGATGACATAGCAGATTTTAAAGACGAGGTACGTTTTGGTTTCTTTGACTGTTTGTCTTGAGTTTTCCCCCTAAGATTTGATGATATAGATAAGTAACCTGATTCTGAAACTAACACTCCGGTTGAATCTACATATTGTTCTTTTCTTGCCATGGAGTGATCTATGATTTGTTTATCGTATTCTTGGTCTTCATTTATTGCATTACCATTTCGTTGATCATACTGTTGTTGCTTAAAATATTCTTGTTGTAATTGGTTTTGAAATTGTTTTCTTTCTGTTATGTTAAGGGAATGTGATTTTAAACTAGATGTTTCCATTGAACTAGTCGGCGATCGATTTCCTTGCCAAGCTATTTGATCTTCCATAGGCATTCTTTTCGGAGAGTCATATCTACTAGATGTTGGATAGTAAGAAAGTGCATCAGTAAGATTTCCAGGTGGATATCCGGAACGATGATTATTTGCTTTATATCCATTTTGATGAAAATGTATTTCATTAGCTCCCATTGTATTTGCCCTCGTTAATGGTTTTTTATTTATGTTTGAAGAAGACATAACAACAGTTTGAGCATGATAACTAGGCTCAGGTGGATAGGAGTCAATTGTTTGCTTAGGAACCGATTCCGTAATTTCATTTCTATCTAATAACTCGGAAAAATGTGTATCTTCAGTAAGCATACCTCTTGGTGTACTATACACAGTAGTGAAAATTGGTTGCCTATTTCCAGCAACGGAATATATTGAAGGTGCTTCATTTTGGTAATAATACTCTATATTATTAAGTGTATTTTGACTAGGTATTGAATATGGAATATCACTTTTAAAAAAACTAGAATCCATTTTTTCCTGTAACCTATTTATATCTATAGAAGAATCTTTAAAGCTGTCACCTTTACGTAAGTTATAATCTCTTTTGATACTTTTATCCTCATACTGGTATGAATCTACTAAAGTTTCTAAATAAGGTTTGGAATCTATATCACAAGTCATTCTTTGAACGGACTGTGGGGAAGGAATTCTTATCTTATGACTTTCATGAACAGAATGACTAACTCTCCCTGTTTTTGGCGAACCTGGACTTTTTTCTAAACTGGACCAACCACTCATAGACGATAATCCAGAATCTGATTTTGCTGCTACAATATTGGTACTATCTCTTTTTAAATGTTTTGGGGAAGTTTTAGGAGACTTAGGTGAACGAGGGCTTAGTCGTAAATTATCTGATGGAATTGCACTACCCGTCGATAGATTCATAGATTGGTGTGTTGACAGTAGTTCATTATTATTTTCAATTGATGGAAAAATGTCAACACCATTAGGAGGTGCTGGTGGCGGTGGACTTGGAGATTTTCGCAACCTGTTTTCTTCATAATTCATTTCAAGTCTACTATCTGCAGGTTCATCATATATATCTTGTACAGATAAAGGAGAGCTTTGTTCCGTTGTTTTATATATTTCATTTAAAGTTTGCGTTGTACTTTTAGTGGAAAAATAGTTTTGTCTCGATGGATCAACTTGATATGGTGAGCTATAATCAAATCTTTCTCTGGAAATCGCACTAGGTGATTTAGATGACTTTGCTGCTATTTCAGCGTTGGCTACTGCTGAACTATATGCCAATCGACCCGTTACCGTTGTATAAGGCTCTGTTGTAGTTCTTTCAGGCACAAATTTTCTTCGAGGAGACAGAGTTGGTGGTAAGTATTCTAATGTCCTATCTGCGGCACTATGTTCAGCAAGTGATAGCCTTGAAGGAGATTTATCCCTCATATTACTTTCTTTTGGTAATCCTAAAATAAAATCATCAAAACTCTTCATCATATCATTAATACCCCAGTTCTCTCCGCCTGCGTACATGTTTTTTAGTTGTTCGTTAATTATATTACCATCTTCAACCAAAGTTTTTGCTTCTATATCCCTGTCATGTTTCGCTGTTAGTTTTGTTTCCGGACTAAGGAGTCTTGTTTTCAAGTCTTTTAACTCTCTCGAATCTTTGTGTAATTGGGTTGTCAACCTATCTAATTCATGTAATTTATCTACTGTTATTTGATCTATTGTACTTAAGGTAGATAAATGAACTATGTCTCTTTCACTTATACCAGGTCCTCCTTGTAATCCACAGTAATTTTTATAATCACTGGAACTATAAATTTGTCTTGATGTTGTTGGAATAATTTCTACATCGGTTTCTTCGGGTGCTTCCCAGATCATATCCAATTGTGAAGATGGTCTTGAAGTTTCGTCACACACTAGATCATCTCTATAAGCTTGATTTAAGCTTCTATAAAATGCCTCATTTGACTCCATAACTTCTTCCTGAGGATCTAGTAATACTGCACTCCGACCAATGTCTAAGCCTTCTTCTATACCATCTTCAACCGTACCATTACCCAATATTTCTCTTATAACTTCTAATCTAGACATAGGGTCTCTGGAAGTTACAGTGCGACATGCATAGAAATCGAGAAGAGTCGATATTACACCTTGTTGATCAGCAAGCAATGTTTCTAGTCTCTCTAAGCGATCCCACATTCTTACATATTCTTGGCTGAGTAGATCGAGTGCCCGCCATGCATATTTTAATTCAGTTTCCAAAATATTAAGACGTGTTCCAAGGCGTTCCATGTAGTCGCTGATAATATAATCGCCCGAGTAAGGAGGAAGGTCAGGAGGTAATGAGAGGGAGCCGAAATCGTCCATATCGACCTCGGCATCCCCACTCCCACCGCCCTCGTTTTCCTCCATCACGTCGTTTGCATCTGCCCCAGCATTGTCGTGAATTTCGTGCATCATCTTCGATGTGGACAATGGGTCGGATATAACATCTTTCACTATGACTCATCCCATATCGTTTTAATTATAACAATTATTTCACAAAACTGTTCCACGTCACAGTCGGTTCTATATTTAATCATTTTATAATACACAATTTAACACATATTGTTTACTTTAGTTCACTTTTTTAACTATTAAAAACGATTTAACACTTTATGTATAGTTTGTACTTAGACGGATTTAAATTAAATTAATCTTCATCAAAAATATACTTTGAATATTGAAAAAATTTATATCACTTTTCTGAAAAAGAATAATAATAATAAAAATAATAATAACGTTGTAGATCTTGGAGGATAAAACATTATACTAGTCTGTTCATAAGCTTGTTATGTACAAACCAGTAATGGATTGGAGTTAACCTCAAATAAACATGTCAACTCAAATATATTTTAAAATTTATAAGTTGGAAACACTAAGAATTTAATAAATTTAATGCAAAATATAACTTAGATTAAAGAATATTTTCATTAAATAAAAGAATATTGATAATTTTAATAATTTATGAGTTAAAATGTTTTTACAGAGGCAGCTAAGCGGTTCGTATACGATTCCACATGAGGATATCTCAGAGGTGGGAGGCGTAATCTAGTTCAGGATAGGACAAGGAGGAAATTTGATGGGAGACTAGACTAAACCACCGCTTCACTTAAATAATAAAATACGGGAAAGGAAGGTGAGGTTTTAGGTATTAGGTAAATATTTTATTTATTGTGTTTTATTAGATAATATTAAATAAAATGTAAGAAATAAATAAATATAGTTTTAACGCACAAGACAACTTCCAAGATATCTAATAGAAACAGATTTTAACTGTAACTTAATATTGTGTGCTTGATTTATAAATCATAATTTATTAAATTTATATTTCTACTTGTTTGTTATATCAGATCTAAAATAAAAATATTATTTTATATATATATATATATATATATATATATATATATATATATATATTTCAAGCACAAAGACCATTAATTTAAAAAAAAATGCGTCATTGAGTATAGAACGTAAAAGAAAGTAGTACACTTTAATATATTCAGAACAAGTTTACTTTAGATTTAAAAATATTTTTTGTTTTTTTTAGTTATATAAAAAAGACATTAAATGATAAAATTAACACTTCTTCCTAAAATAAAAATAGTTGAAAAAATTCCTAGTTTACAACAAAGGAATTTAATTTACTGTTACGTTCTGGTAGACCTATTGATGTCAAGAAATGCTCTGCAATAGCTCATATATGTAGACAAAATATCGCAAAGATGATTAAATCTATATAAATAATATTCTATTAATAAACTCTACAATAAACTAACAAAATATTATAGTATTAGTTAAGTCATGGTCCATATTTAGTGCCGTAAAATAAATTTTTAACTTATAATACATAGTAAAATCTACTTTATATTTGATTAACAGGCCTATTATATTACGACCATGATTTTTTTCATTAAATGTCCATCTTTGGCGTTATTATTCAGAGAAACTGAAACTCTTCGACAATTTTGACTTTTTGACAAGTTTTTAATAAAATCCGCGACGGCACTTTTTCAAGCACATGGATATACGTCACGGATATATATACTAAGCAAGAGAAATGAAAAGCTTATAATAATATCTCGTATATAGTGGTTGAGTTTATAGTCAGAATTTGAAAAAAGAAAATTTTTAAAAGAAACGTAATTATATACTTTGTATTAAACAATTTATTATTAAACCTTACATAAAAGTAATTCCCACTGCACAAAAAGCTACAAGATGCGTTGCGTCGGTCGCTCGAACTCAGTACCGTAGAAATCAGTACATTTTTGATAGGCCTCTTAATGCAAAAGCATAAATCAGGCAAGATATAGTAGGAAAGAATTAATATATAAATATTTGAAAACCAATGATTTAATTTAAAGATTTCGAAAGATATATTATTTAGTGATGATACTTAAGTAACGTTGCGTCTCACAACACCCAACTAGATTAATCGCAATGTACTGAGGGTATAAAGTTTCTTAGAATAGCAATCTTCAATCGAAATGGCTGGAGACTGGCCAAAACTCACTTGAAGTTTTACTCAACACTAATTGGATTTGTAGCCTACTTCATGGAAAGCGTATAAAAAATTACTAAATTCGCATGAAATATATTATATTACTATCTGCCCACACATTTTAATCAACGTCATGAAGAAAAAATTAAAATAAATCGACGAAAAAATCCGAAAAGGTAGTTTTATTTATTCAAAAGCTATTTTTATTAAGTCATAGTAGATTTCGAGTAATATTGAAACCATTCATCTAAATACGAACTGAAGGTTTATGATATACTCCTACCTATAATTAATGTACGGTAAGTGGCATTTATTTATTTATTTGGAAGACATAACAGTATTTAGTTGTATATAAACAAAAAAAAAATACATACACGAATTAAGTCTTTACAGTTTACAACTACTTAAGATTATAAATTATAATGAATGTTAGCTTATTAAGAATTAAAGTTGATAACAAGAACTGGGAAACGATCACGAACAGACACTTCTAGTTAAAATTTTGAACTTATTTAAAGAAAGGGAAAATAAATGCAAATAGTGTTTGATATTTATCCATACTTAAGTTACTCTGTCTCTTATATATTTGAAGCTAAATGTATCTGTGTTATTATACTCTTGAACGAAGAGCGAGTTGCTAGTGAATAATAAAATACTAGCGATTCACCCTCGCTTCGTTCGGGTTCGTCCCTAGCTTGATACGCAATACAAACTTTCATCACCATTTTCACCCCCTCAAGGGATGATTTCCGGGATAAAAAGTATGCTATGTCCTTTCCAGGGTCTCAAACTATTGTCTTACCAAATTTCATCTAAATCTGTTCAGTAGATCCAGAGATTACATACAACTTCACAAACTCACAAACTCACAAACTTTACCTCTTTATAATATTAGTATAGATATACGATTTTTAACATTTTTTACTTAAGCTCACATTAAATTGAGGTGGATAAACTATGTAATGTGCAACAGGCACTAAATATCAAGATAACCAAAAATAATTATAATGGAAAGGCAAACAATAAGTAATTCAATAAGTAATATACGAGTAGAATACTGCCATTGCCGCCGTGCTATATTTACTTGGATAGTGAACTGTCTCTTTCGAAGCCAATTTTAACTGTCAGAACGGTGCGGCGTGCTTTTAATAGAGTGCAGGTACGTTGTCTAGATATTTCAGGCAAAATTAAAAGTTATGATAATATGTAGATAAATAACTCGTTTCATTACTACTAATGTGTATGGAAGTTCGTATTTTCGATAGTGGAAATTTATTTGACGACACGTTTGGCTCAGTTTCTAGAGACCCTACTTGCTGTGCCAGCGGTCGTGGGTTCGAGTCCCGCTGGGGCATTCATTTGTGTGTTGAGCAAGAATGTTTGTACTCCAGTCAATGGGTGTTTATATTTATAATATGTATGCATTTAAAGTTATATATGTGTAATGTATCAACTATCTTGTATTCATAACACAAGCCTCATAGCTTACCATGGAACTAGATGGTGTTGTGTGTTAATGTTCCGACATATTACATATATTATTAGCGTATTGAATATTACAGGCACAATCAGTAATTCTAGTCTCTATTTGTATAAGTATGAGAGTATATATTTGTAGTTGTATAAAAATTAGTACAACAATATTACCAAAAATAATAGAAAATATGGCAAAAGTTTATTTTGTACGCAGGAATAAAATCTGTGGCTGTAGTATATAAAATGAGTTAATTATTAAAGGCACGAACTAGTAAGTTAAGAAACAAGGCCATAAAATTTCTGAAGTTCATTTAGAAATATAAAACTTTTAGTTTAACTTGTACAGATGAAAAAGTTTTTATGGTTATTCGTCTGAAATTAATTAGATCCAACAGTTCTTTGGGAAAAATTGCTCGTTATCATAATGTGTATTGTTTTAGTACAAAATGAGTATAAGAATTTTTCTTTTATTTTTGTAAAGTAATATTTCTGAATTCCTTACCATGCGTGAGCTTCGTTTATGTAAACCCAGAAAGATTTACAGGAGTATAAATTATAGTCTTGACACTCCATTTAACAATAACATAATCGCTTAAAATACTTAAAGTTATACCCAAAATATCTATACCTACAGTATAGTACAATCTACTCAATTATAGATTTTTTTATTTATTAATATTATTAAATCATTTTTTTTTCTTATTTCGAACAAGTAATATAAGATTTCTAGTTTATGTATAACATTAATGCCAATACTTATTTTGTAATAGATATTATAGAGCAATTCATATAAGGACAAATAAATCAATTTATTTCACGCTTGTCGAAAGTAACTAGCGGAAGTAAATTACCCGGAAAGGAGCAGAAATTCAATCAAAATCCAAAACAATGGCGAGAGAAATCCAATAAACAATAATTTAGATACAAAAGAACACCAATCACCTAACAAACGTAGACATTTCTTGCCAAGTTGGGCAACATTTCTGGAGTACAAATGGACTTCAGATTATTATGGAAGAACTGTTAGAAAGAAAATGCAGCTGTTGGCAACTGTTCAAACATGGGGCCAGATGTTACAAACTCGAAGACTGGATTGTTTCATAACTCCGGTTTAATGAACCCCAACGTTTGACGTTTCACCCTACATTCACCCTTTGTGTACGAAAAATCTTCCTTGCATACATTCATAGTTTTTGAGCGAAACTCCGAAGGCACTTTAATGGCTATTTTTATATATTTTTCTTACGTTTCATATTATACTAGCGACTCACCCCCGCTGCACCCGCATTTGTCCCTAGGTATGCTTTAATGGTTAGTATAGATTTCTCAGAGATGAGATATTTGCCAGATAAAAAGTATTCTATATGTTGACCCGGACAAGCAGCTTTCATCAAAGTAAATTTCATCAAAACCTGTCAAGTAGTTTTCTCATTATGCGTTC